TGAAGTGTTTCTATCTGTCACATTCTTGAATAAAAGTGTTTTAGTGTGTAAAATATTTCTGAATTATAATGAACAGGATCCAAAGGATAGAGTGTATTGTTGCCAAAATCAATTGCTATTCCCTGCATGCACAGCTATAGAAAAGGGAATAAAAGTAGGTTGATTATTGAACTTCAGCTTTCCCTAGTTCCTAAGAAGACTCCCTAGTCCTGATACTATGGGCACCGGGACGCCAAGGAATGTAAAAGAAAAATAGGGGAATGAAGGTGTCATAATTCAGATTCACATATGGCACTGCTCTGATGAATCTGGTAGCACTGTGACTGTAACCATGTAGCTCTCTATACTAAATTCTGTTCTTGGTTACACATGTGTAGCTCACACATGGTTACAAACATGTAACCCACCAAAAAATCTGCTGTCATTCACACCAGTACAAATCCATTAGTGGGGCTGCATGGATTGAGAGAATTTGCTGCAATGTGTTTATTAAAAGGACCAAATAAATGCAGGGAAGTTATAGACTGCTACCTGGAGACTGCCTGTAAAACTGTTACAGGAAGAAGTGTTAAGTACTCTATTATTGCACATAATTATAATCACTGCTACTAATTCATCTCAGCAATAACTGAAATCAGTGAATATAGCACACCTGCATCTGAAGGCAAAATTTAACCCATGTTAGTTACTTTTTTCCCCATAGGACAGTCAGCTAAGTCAGAGGGGAACTAAGCCTTCCAAATGGTTTATATCAAGCTCCCTTTCCTTATCCCTCTCTATAAAATACAGTTAAACCCATCACAGAAGTAATCTGGGGGTACGTCTAGACTACATGCCTCCGTCGACGGAGGCATGTAGATTAGCCAGATCGGCAGAGGGAAATGAAGCCGCGATTAAAATAATCGCGGCTTCATTTAAATTTAAATGGCTGCCCCGCTCTGCTGATCAGCTGTTTGTCGGCAGATCGGGGCAGTCTGGACGCGCCGCGCCGACAAAGAAGCCTTTCTTGATCGGCACAGGTATGCCTCGTGAAACCAGGTTTACCTGTGCCGATCAAGAAAGGCTTCTTTGTCGGCGCGTCGCGTCCAGACTGCCCCGATCTGCCGACAAACAGCTGATCGGCAGAGCGGGGCAGCCATTTAAATTTAAATGAAGCTGCGATTATTTTAATCGCGGCTTCATTTCCCTCTGCCTATCTGGCTAATCTACATGCCTCCGTCGACGGAGGCATGTAGTCTAGACACACCCCAAATGTTTAAGAGAGACATTTAAATGGTGTTTACTCTCAAACAGTACTTTTTCTGCATACTCAAATTTCCAGAAGATTTTTTTAAAATTCTTCAATCCAGAGGACTGGGTTACTAAAATCCCACTATTAGTTGCAAGTGAAACTTAACCTTATTTATGATGGATGCCAAGGTCTCGACCCTTGTCTGGTGCACAGTAGGCCACACAAGGTTTTTCTGCTCCCTTTGCAAATATGAAAGGAAGCTCCATGTTGACACAAGCAAGCTTCAGCACTAGATGTTGTCCTCTATGTTGAATGAACATATATTTGAAGGCATCTGTATGTCTACCCCCTTAGAGTGCAAAGGGGTGGATGCAGAGAATAGGTGTGTTTGAGGATATAAGGACTTAAGTGCAGTACCTCAGCATGCACATGCTGGGCCTCACTACATATTCTCCTGACACTAGGCATGAGTAACCTAGAACCTGCAAAGCCATGCTCTCATTCATGCAGAGTCAGGCTCACTGGCACTCCCTGTTTAGGACTAGTCCCCTTGTGGTTTTATCCACCGTATTCTGCCCCAGACAGTGCAGGATCAAGTCCCAGCAGAATATAACAAGGCAGGTAGTACAATTAAAAAAAACCAGTAAATCAGAGAAACATACCTACTCCCTTCCTGCAAAAGTGCAATAGCAATCCGGATCCGATTCCTCAGGAAGATCAGCATAAGTATGATGATGACTTCCACAATACAAAGTATTATCACTGCAAGCACAAAAATTAAGCTCATTTAAAATGAAGCCAACGTGTTGCCTTTCTACATTGATGGTTGCCACCTTGTAGTTTACAATCCTGGTCATGAATGCTATGCTAGGGAGTGTCTGTAGCACTTCACAGAAAATATCATTTATCTTTAATGGAATGCATTCAAGTAAACATCTGCTTATTCAGAAACAAGCATTGTAATGGTTATACTATATTGCTGCTAATTTTTAGTCTCCAGACATAGGAAATAAATAAAACATAGATGGAGATTTAGCCTTTTAATTAGGAGAGCTTAATTCTGATCTCCATTACACTGCTGTCATATAGAAGTAATTCCACTGGAGTCCATTGCCGAGTTTTATATAGGGCAAACTAGCACCTCAGTGAGGTACAAGGAAGGAATAAGGATACAAGGTACAATGCTAATATTCTTAGGGGCATTACTTTAAAGGGATTCAACTCAGCAATGGTGAGTGCCCTCCCCCTTAGCCCAGACAAAACAGAGACACAGCACATAGGTTGTATGCAGCACTTCACAGTTTTATTAAATCAATTTAACAAAGAGGCTGAGGGTACGCCAACCTTTAGCAGGCAAAGCAAGGGTCTCATGTGGGAGGACATAGCCTTATGCCACAGCCACAAAATCTGGAGTCAGGGAGCTACGGACAGGGTGTCTGAATCATCCTTGGGATCCAGCCAATTGATGAGATCAACAGGCTCAAAAGAATGAGAGCAGAGATGGGGAATGCCTCAGTCTGCACTAGACCTAAGAGACCATCCCTATCCCATCAAGACCAAACTCTGGCCAATAAATGCCCGAGTCTTATGCTTATGTTGATATCCAGAGATACCCTAAGCTTGACACTGATGACAAAGCTTCATCACAAATGCTGTGCCCACCAAATCAGGCTTCCTACATGCTGTGATGAAGTTAAAAAAATCCTTCTTATTCATTCAGCCAATTTTGTCCAGAGGAAACATTATTTCCTAATGCCCTGATAGCTGATCTTCTTAGGGCCTACAGCATGCAGGGGACCAACTTCTGCTACCCTCAGCCCCAATAACTCCCAAAGAGTGGGTGTTGCTTGGGCACTTTCCAGTGAGAATGGAGTGCAGCTGCCCAGTTATGATCATCCACCTTTCTTGAACTGGCCAATCACATAATGGCCCACTCAGTCCCTTCCTCCCTTCACACTGCACATGGTGCCCACACAGGAAATTTGATACATGGATTGAGGAGAAGAGGCAAATGCCCCTCTCCCCTGCTACCTGGCCAGGACCCCAGGAAGTGCTCTCTGCTAATTACGGCAAACCCTTCTCCCTCACCACCACCTAGAAGACAAAGAGGAACCTCATAGTACGAGTGAGGTCTTATTATCTACCAACTGTGCAGGTTTTCCATATTTGTCAGTAGGCCAGATAAACTAGTAATCCTGAAAACCGGGCAACATCATAAAACGCTGTCACTGCTCTGAGGTCTCAGAAATGTATCTAAAGGAAGGTGTTTGTTCAGCAACTGTAACAAGGAAGGGGGTACAGCATAGATTGCACCAATCAGCTGATAATTCATTCTCCTATTTGAGCATTAACAGAGACTAATTTGAAAAGGCACTTACTAAATGCTAACCATGTTTGCCTCAGCTGCAGGTACACTCTGAAGTCAGTCTGGAAGCCAATATCATAGATTGTGAGGTCAGAACCAGGTGTCCCCTGAAGATGATCATACTCCCAGTAACAATGCCAGATACCTTTGGAGAAACAAGCCATGAAGAGCTGAGTGTTTCTGAAGAATCTGTAAATACGAATGAGTCTTTGGTTTCTTTGCCTCCAACATGCCATATAGGCAAATACTAGAGGTGATCATGAGAACATAGGTTGGACCTCTCTAGTCTAGCACCCTCAGGACCTGACTGATGCCAAAACAGAAAATTTGCTGACCCATAGAAAGTTAATATCATCTAGTAGCATTTCTAACACTTCCACTGCTTGCTGGACTCTTACAAAACATTTTGGGGTAAATTAGAGCTGAACAACAGCACGGAACACTGAGAGCCAGGACTGGTGGCTCTAAACAAACTTTATGGTTCCACAGGAAACTTGGTCCCACCCCTGATAAGTGGACATCTGGCTAGCTAAAATCACGCTGAACCATGGATGCTGCCTGACCAGACTGTGCTGGACTAGAGAGGTTCAACATGTAGTGGCTTATAAGCTCACATGAACAAAAAAGAAATCATGGTGCAAATAGAGAAGGTCTACTCCTGCAAATGTTTGAGCAGTCCTATTGCAATACACCGGGTGATAAATATTTGCTAGATTGGGGCCATAGTAGAAGTTTCTTTAAAAAAATAAAAAACTCAATTACCTGTCAAATCTATGTACTATTGTTACCTGATTAAGTTATATTTAATTGGCATTAATTACAGATTTCCTTGTACTATCATCAGCAGTAAGAACAAATTTTTTCCGCAGTTCCTCATTAGAGAGTGTAGGAGCTAACACCTACCATATCCTATAATTCCAATAACACCAAGGATGAAAATCCAGAAGAGGACTCCTGCTGTGAACCTCAGGAGAACAAGGAAGAGCAGGCTCATAATCATTGCAATGACCAGACCACTGGAAAGACAGAAGACAGGAACATAAAGGAAATAGGCATAAGCATCCATCTGCCTGGCCCATTCTATGTACTGTCCCATTTAATATGCCAGTGTTTATCAATCTTTCTTTATAAAGGAGGATTACTCTTTCACACAATACAGAATGACAAGTCTAAAATTTTATTTCAAACCTCTTTTTGAAAGTCTAATGAGTGGGTGAGTGTTTTTAAGTTAGGATACCATCAACTATTGGGCAATAAATGTTTAGGCAGTCTGATTACATTTCACAGACACATTTATAAATGATGGGTCAGCTCCACAGCAGATGTAAATTGGCATAGCTTCAATGCAGTGACTATGCTTATTTACACCAGCTGAAGTTTTGACTCAGTAACATCTTCTGTCCATGGCTAGGCAGGTGGAGAGAAGTGTCAAACTGGAAGGATGCATACACATGTGGTGAAAACAGTTAATTTAATTTAGCTTCTTATGTGGGAACGTCTATTCTAAAAAGCAGATAAGGACTTTGAATTTGAGAATAAAACACTTCCCTTTCTATCCTTCCAAACAAGTCCTGTGTACTGCATTGGAGTTGGCCAGAAAAGGTGGATTAAAAAGTAAGGGTACGTCTAGACTACATGCCTCTGTCGCCAGAGGCATGTAGATTAGGCTACCAGACATAGGAAAATGAAGCGGCGATTTAAATAATCGCCGCTTCATTTAAATTTACATGGCTGCCGCGCTGAGCTGACAAACAGCTGATTAGCTGTTTGTCGGCTCAGCACCACCCGCGCATCCAGACTATTGCGCAGAGCCGACAAACAGTTGATCAGCTGTTTGTCGGCTCAGCGGTGCAGCCATGTAAATTTAAATGAAGCGGTGATTATTTAAATCGCCGCTTCATTTTCCTATGTCTGGTAGCCTAATCTACATGCCTCTGGCGACAGAGGCATGTAGTCTAGACATACCCTAAGAGAGAAAAGCTGACCATGGCAATGAACTACCAGCTGTGCAATTGGAAAGATAGGTACCCAGTGAGTGTCTTCTTTTAGCCTACTCAAATTAGTGGTAAGGCAGTGTGAATTCTGGTTTCATTCCCAGCATGCAAGTCATAAAGAAGAAAAATGATGGCAGCATAAACCCTTTACATGCTGTCATGATCATGAGGGATGGCCAACAGCCTGGGGACTAAGGAGTTAACTGTACCTAGCCAGGTAGCAGTCAGCCAATAGAAATGCAGATAGGGATTTCAAACTGGGACAAAGGAATTTTTAGGTTTTCCCCTCCTTTGTCCCTGGACAGTTGGTTCTCCAGATACTGAGGGGGACAGACAATATGACTCTCTCCAAGAAAAGACTCTTTACCATCAGTAAGTAGGGTAAAGTTTAGATAAAACCATTAGGTTTTATTGTTTTATGGTTTGGGAATGGGAATCTGATGTCTGTGCATTTAAAAATGGGTTTTCCTCTCCTTTGTAACTAAGTTTTTGGCCCATGGGAGTCCCCCATGAGTATATTAATTGGTGACTTTTCCATCTAGTCATTATGTTTGTAATAGGAGTATTGTGGTGATAATGAAAGTTCTTTCTTTTTTATTAACCTAGTATTGATTAATTTTTGTGTCCTGGTTTTACTTTAGGGCTGAGATTTCCCAAGTGATCTCTTCTCTGGTTTTCTTACTATTACTTGGGTGGTGGCAGCAGATTTTATCCCCAAAATCTAGGTTTTTAGGATTTTGGGGGGAAGTTTTATACCAAAGCCTGGAAAGATAAGGTTTTGGGGTACTTTTGTGAGCCCCCACTGATGCATTCATCATGCCAGAGTGGGGAATCAGCCTTGACTCATGCACACAGATGTGCATGTAGATCCATAGGAGATAACAGCCAGTCTCCTCTCACATATAATCCCTAGAGGTCGGACACACCAGTAAAATATTTAATTTCTCAATGACTTTAGCAGACACCAAATCAAAATATGTGATTATGAACCCTGGACTTTGAAGATGTACCCACTGAAATACAACCATTAATTTAAAGTTTGTTTAAGGACCGCTCTCTAAAATGTCCCCACACATCTACCTGTTTATCAAAAATGTGAGGCTGATCAGACTCTTGACCATATGAGTGTAATGGGTTAAGTTATCTCTTTGGGCTCGTAAACCTTATATCTGTGCTGCAGACAGTGAAAAAGAAAGGGCCACATCTTGCTCTAGAGATCTCTTTACCATCATCTGCACAAGACATTTACAAATATTTCCCCTCTGCCCTGCATGGTCAATCCCTTTCCAAATTCACTCAAAGACATCTCATGCTTTTTCACGGAATGATTCATCATTCAAAAATGTCCAAAAAATGTTAGCTGGACCCTGGATTATTTGGATGTTGGGGACCTGATTCAGGAAAGAATTTATGTATACACACTTTAGGCGTGGGCTTAATTTTTGTTGTCTTCACTAGGACTTATGCATGTGTCTGAAGTTAATCACAGTCTTCAGAGCTACCCTGAACATACATGTTTCCTTAAATTGGGTTCTGAGAACTGAAAGCTGAAGATCTTCCTGGGTATTATGGGAAAGCAGGAGCCTTTCAGTAGTTAACGTTGTAAGCACTATAAAGCCCTATAGCATCATACCCATAACTCTGGCCTGGAAATTGAATTGTGTTTGGAAACTACAGGATTTTCTCTGAACTGAAAGGAGGAAGTTTTTGTAAAGTACAAAGAAAATGCATCCAAAGGTTTTAGCAGTACAGATCATTCTGAAAAATGACTAAATTTGAAACTTTGACTTTTGTATAACATTTACTTCGTCTCTCTCTAGCGTCAAACTTTTTGGATAGTTCAGGCCTAGGCAAAATACACCTGCGGGCTGCATCTAGCCCACCAAACCACTGGATCCTACCCACAGAGGCAGTGAGGAGCCCCAGGTAGACTCTCCTGCTTGCTCTGCAGGATTCCCAGGCTACATCTAGACTGTGCACACAGATGTGCATGTAGATCCATAGGAGATAACAGCCAGTCTCCTCTCACATATAATCCCTAGAGGTCGGACACACCAGTAAAATATTTAATTTCTCAATGACTTTAGCAGACACCAAATCAAAATATGTGATTATGAACCCTGGACTTTGAAGATGTACCCACTGAAATACAACCATTAATTTAAAGTTTGTTTAAGGACCGCTCTCTAAAATGTCCCCACACATCTACCTGTTTATCAAAAATGTGAGGCTGATCAGACTCTTGACCATATGAGTGTAATGGGTTAAGTTATCTCTTTGGGCTCGTAAACCTTATATCTGTGCTGCAGACAGTGAAAAAGAAAGGGCCACATCTTGCTCTAGAGATCTCTTTACCATCATCTGCACAAGACATTTACAAATATTTCCCCTCTGCCCTGCATGGTCAATCCCTTTCCAAATTCACTCAAAGACATCTCATGCTTTTTCACGGAATGATTCATCATTCAAAAATGTCCAAAAAATGTTAGCTGGACCCTGGATTATTTGGATGTTGGGGACCTGATTCAGGAAAGAATTTATGTATACACACTTTAGGCGTGGGCTTAATTTTTGTTGTCTTCACTAGGACTTATGCATGTGTCTGAAGTTAATCACAGTCTTCAGAGCTACCCTGAACATACATGTTTCCTTAAATTGGGTTCTGAGAACTGAAAGCTGAAGATCTTCCTGGGTATTATGGGAAAGCAGGAGCCTTTCAGTAGTTAACGTTGTAAGCACTATAAAGCCCTATAGCATCATACCCATAACTCTGGCCTGGAAATTGAATTGTGTTTGGAAACTACAGGATTTTCTCTGAACTGAAAGGAGGAAGTTTTTGTAAAGTACAAAGAAAATGCATCCAAAGGTTTTAGCAGTACAGATCATTCTGAAAAATGACTAAATTTGAAACTTTGACTTTTGTATAACATTTACTTCGTCTCTCTCTAGCGTCAAACTTTTTGGATAGTTCAGGCCTAGGCAAAATACACCTGCGGGCTGCATCTAGCCCACCAAACCACTGGATCCTACCCACAGAGGCAGTGAGGAGCCCCAGGTAGACTCTCCTGCTTGCTCTGCAGGATTCCCAGGCTACATCTAGACTGCTTTCCTCTTCCAAAAGAGGAAATGCAAATGAGGAAAGAGGAAATTCAAATGAAGCACCTATTAGCATATTCTCATGCTTCATTTGCATATCCTCTTCTGACCCTTTTTGCGGAAGAGGTTTTTTCATCAAAAAACCCAGTCTAGACGTGGCTTTTTCGTGAAAAACAACAACCCTTTTTCCAAAAAACCCGTATTCCTCAAAAAATGAGGTTTACAGAACTGCGAAAAAGGGAGGTTTTGCGCGAAAAACCCTGTCTAGACTGCTTTTTTTTCTGAAAAACCTCTTCTGAAAAAGGGATTGGAAGAAGAAAAGCAAATTTGCACCAAATTTGCATATCTTCTCTTGGAAGCTGAGGGTAGTCTAGACATGCCCTGAGGCTCAGGGACCCCCAGCATTGGGAAATCTAGACATAGACTCAGAAATGCTGCTGCAGGGTGTTCTTTCTTTATGAGTCCAGAGGGGACGGGGGAAGATTCAGATGCTGCTTCCTCCTCCAGCATAATTCCATTGGCCAGTTTCTGGCTAGAAACTGGCCAATGGGAGCTGCCTGTTTGAATAACAGGCAGCCACAAAGCACAACCCTCCTGCTCAGTTATTCACTCAGGCATATGGCCGAACAGACAGAAACATTTTAAGCTCTGCAAGCCTTTAGCTCTGCAGGCAGGCTGGTTTGGCTGCTGGCTGGTAAGTTTCCTGACCAGAGTCTGCCTCTCACACCTGAACCTCTCCCTTCCCCAACCCTCTGCCCCACTACTCCACATGCACCCATACCCTGTCCCAGATCTGGCACTCCAATCTCCTGCCTGAGATCACAATCCCTTCCTACTCTAGGTCATATCCCAAAATCCTGAACTCCAGTCCCCTACCCCAGGTCCCAACTATCTCCTTCACCCAAATTCCCTCCCAGACTCCATTTTCCCCCCTCACCCCAATCCCTTACCCCAAGCTCCCTTCTGCACCCAAGCTCCACCCCAGACCCCGCATCTCCACCATTAATACTATGGAAGAGTGCAGCCCTCAACCATGTTCCAAAATCTTGGAGTGGTCCTCCATCAAAAATTAATTACCCACACTTGGTATAGTTAAGTCCCCTTGTCAACTCGTGGCCTACCTATAGAGGTAGCAAATAAATTCATGATTTTAGGTGTGGATAATTTTTTACCCAATCTTGTGCCCATTTATTTCAGTGGGAGTTATCAACTCTTCCCCTATTGACACCTGTGTGGTTTTCTTGCCACTGGCTTCAGAGAGAGCAGAATCAAGCCCTACGAGTATACGAGGAAGTTGCCCTCTACTGCCCTCTCTTGAGGCAGCGTAGGAAGAAGCTTAGGGCAGATCTACACACGTATGACTGGCCCAGATCAGCGATTCAAGCTTATGGGGCTTGGGCTGCAGGGCTTAAAATTGCAGTGTAGACATTCAAGCTTGTGTTGGAGCCTGAGCTTTGGGACTCTCCCCTGAACTCTTCTCTCCCCTTCCCCTCCCCACATTCCTGTATGGGGTAATCCCAAAACTCAAGCTCAAACCCAATTTTCACATCCCCACTTTAGAGACCTACAGCCTGTCAGGTCATCGGGGCTAGCCATGGGTGTTTAACTGCAATGCAGACATCCCTTAGCACCCCTTCTATAGACACAGTCTACACATGTGTTCAGTCTGAAAAGTGCAAAAAGTCAAAAGTACAAGACTACTCTGCAGTTAAACAAGTAAGTGTGGGCAAAATATAAAGAAAAATCATCCAACAGATTCAAAAGTATGGATCATTCTGAACAATGAGGCTGTATTTAAGGATGACATAGCAGAATACTGGATTAGTCTCACCGTATGTATAAGATCTATGAAAAAGTGCCATGATACAAGTATGTGATAAAAGGAGATTCTTGATGTTTAACAGTAGGATGTCAGACATACACATGAATGAATAGTTCTTCTATATTTTGTATCTTCCCAGGAATATTTATAAATAAACTTACATTAAAATCCAATGCCAGGAACTGGCATAGTCTTCAAATATTTTCATCCCAACTGATCTTGCATCAAGGACATTATTGATACCACTTAAACAAAACAGAAAATAAGTTTGGCTTATATGGGATACCAAAAATCCTACTTAAGAAGCAAATAGGTCCTTAATGTACTAAGAATGTACAAGTGAATATATGATATAATCTATAAAACATTTTTATAACATGCCTTTATTTGTGGCATATGGTTTTTCAGTAAAACAGTTTGAAATGTCATTGCCTGTAATAGTTACATTACAATACTGTTCTGGTTCCATGCACAAACCTCAGTTACAGTAATAATAAGGGAAGGATATTTCATTGGAGGTTAAAAGATCCCCCAAACTATTAGCATTTGTACAGCTCTAGGGAAAAATATAGTAAGCAGCTTTAACCGTATCACCAGGCACAATCAATCACAAAAATATAGTCAACTGATCGTAAGTTCTGCTACAAATCTCCCAAAGCCAAACGACAGTTGTGGCTCTGACATTATAAGTATCAAAGATTCACACGCACAAAAAAGCCCCAACCAACCAAAATAAAAACCCAGATAGCAAACAGTAAAACAATAACCACCCCATAGGAGATTTTTTTTCCAACCCCAGCATAGTTGCTGACATTGAAGAATTTCCCCAGGACAATGCAAGGCAGAAATAAAGCTAGGGCTTTATGATAGTGGGGGACAGTTGGAGTAAAGGCCTTGGCAAACTGTGAGCTCTGAAGTCAGGACTGGTGAGGCAAGAGAGGGGGCATTGTTAGGTTTGAGGGAAGAGCTAGACTGAAGGAGGATTTGATAGAAGCTGGAGAAGCTGCTCTGGGCCAGCAGTTCCCTTGTTTCCTGGCTCAGGCCCAGAATGATAGATGCTAGTGCAAGAGTGGGCAAGTACGAACCCGCAAGCTAGATCCTGTTCTACAGGGTTAGCCCCTGGAGGGCCACTGCTGCTATCTTTACCTGCACCTCCACAGGTATATGTGATTACAGCGCCTGTTGGCTATGGATCTCGGTTCCCAGCCAACGGGAGATGTGAGAAGCGGTGTCCTGGTCTGCACCGTTTCCTGCCACTCCCATTGGCTAAGAAATGGGAGCTGCAACTGATTGCCTGTACCAGTGGAGGCATAGATAAATATAGTAGCAGCAGCCTGTCAAGGGCTAACCCTGGCAAACCACCACCATTGTATTGCCCACCGCTCTGCTGGCTTTTAACCTGGAGAGGTTTGAGAGGTTCCCAAATACCACCAGTCCCACATCATTGGCTAGGATACCCACTCCTTGTGACAGGTGTTAAAAATCAGAAGGCAGGTCCTTAGCAGGTGTAAACTGTCATCACTCCATTGATGTCAGTGAGGACCTGCTCCTAAAACTAATGTGTCAGAAACAACACACCTCCAAATTAAATGGAAAAGTGCTATATAAAAAGCTCCTCATCTAATTTCCTGGTATTGAATTTTAAAAGCATTGAATACAGATCTGTCACTTCATTACAATGTCTCACTTGGTTAATTTCAGTCATCTGCTACATTTTGATTTCTTGTCTACCTATACATTAATTCATTGACCTGAAACATACACAAAAGGGATCACACAAAAGAAACATATGAGAGGGAGGAAAAACCTACTTTGCAGCTTCCCTGAGATCAGTTACGTTTCGTGTTTTCCCTATTCCATCTTTGAATGTCGTCTGATTTGCCACCGTCAGAATCCCATTCTTTGTGGAGAAGTCAGGAAAACATCTTTTAAGAACTGTTAAATAATGAACAAGGTGGGTAATAACATACATTTACCTCTTGTCAAATTCCACTTTGTTTTTGCCACCAAATCCACCTATAGCTATGTGTAAATCATTCCAGATCACCAGTGAGGCCCAGATCCACAAAGGTATTTTGTATCCTAAATGCCAGAGCTAGGTGCCTAAGTGCCATTTTTAGACATCTCTACAATCCACAAATTTCCCAGCTGGCAGATGCTTAGCCTTGTAGGCCGGCACTCACTTGGCTCCTAAATTTTCATGGTAAAGTTCCTTCAGTGCCTGAATTTCTGTCTCTGCTGGCGACAAGTCCTGTCTCCCTTTAAGTATCCAGACACCTATCTCCCATGTAAGTCCCAGTGCAATCCACAAATCAGCTGAAGGTAGGCACTCCCCTGCCTATCTCACGCTGAGGTCCAATATGCTCAGAGGCCATCAGGTGCCAGATCAGGCTATGACTTCTAGTCCAGAGTTAGAGCACTCACCTGGGATCTGGGAGACCCAAGTGCAATTCCCATAAAGCAAGGATTTGAGCTAGGATCAGAGAAGTGCTCTAACCACTCAGCTAGGGGATATACAGATGCAGGGCTCTCTCAGTCTCTGCTGTTGAAACTGTTCCATTGTGGCTAAATAATTAAAGACTTGTTGCATCAAGAGACTCTTGGATCATACTCCTGTAACTGGGATCAGTACTGGACCTGGTGTATGTACTGGTTGGACCTCCCTGGTTTGGCATCCTCTGGTCTGGGTGAGGAATTTTGCTGGACCAGGCGAGGTCATTTATGGCCCACCTGTTGCCGGCCCCTGCCCCTGCCCTGCCACTCCACTGGGCTTCCTGACCTTCCCCCCACCTCACAGCCCAGCTGAGCAGCACAACAGCTTCCCAGTTCTCTCTCACTTGGCAGCCCAGCTGAGCCATGCACCGGGCTTCCTGGCTTCCTCCCCCCATCTGCTCCTTCCGCTCCCCTCATTTGCCCACATTGAACTCAGTCCCCCTTCCTTCACTCCAGCACACTGGGACTCTCTGATGCTGAAATAACCACAGATGTTGCCGGACCAGAAAGTCCCTGTTTATAGATGTACAACCTATGTTCAAAAACTCAATGCTCCTTTTTAACCTCTCAGCCCTGCAGAGCCTATAATGCTATAGAAGGTTAAAGCCTAATGATCTAATCTCCAAAATAATCTAAACTCCAAATACAGGGCCATATTATGCCTGCACCTCCACATGTACATGTGATTGCAGGGCCATATTATGCCCTTACTGAACCTATGCTCTTCACCAAAGACAAGAGGGCTGTTTGCCCACGTATTTCTGAAGGTGTAAATCAGTCTGCAGAGTCCTCATTACTGGGGATAATTCATGAGGCAGAAAGAATACAGCCTGACCTGATCCCAGGTTGAGATTTTACAGATGGATATTAGAAAAAACACATTTATATGTTTACACAGTACAGTAAAACTCCAATAGTCCGGCATCCAATAGTCCGGCACTCCTGATAATCCGGCATCAAAATGGCAAGAGCCTAGTGAGTGAGCTTTGGCAAAAAATGAGTCACAAGGTAACAGCGGTAGCAGCTGAACTGAGCAAAAAGGGTAAAAAAGGCTTAAAAAACGAACACATTACAGTATACTGTGTACAGTATGTACAATAAAAAGGGTTAAGAACACTTTATATACAGTATATAATGTATACAGTAGATATATAACCATCTTATAGTATCTCCTGATAGTCCGGCATATTTGATAATCCGGCACTACCTAGGTCCCATAGCTTCCAGATTATCGGAAGTCTACTGTATAACATTGACTTGACCACTCTGACAGCCAATGCAGAGCCCCATGGTGCCAACATCAGGGTATCTTTTCAGAGTGGAGCTTCACTTTAATAATATTCACACCAATCCTCCGCTGAGACATGTGCAAAAAGTATAACTACTTACAAGGCCTGCTTGGAATGATCATCGAAGGACAGTCTTCATCACGGATAACTTGAGCAACAGACTAAAAGAAAAAAAACCAAAGAGAAGTTGTGGAATATAATGCAGAACAAATAAAACCTGCTCAATCTGTGACATCTTTACAATCAAGAAAATGTCCCATTTTCCTTCATTTGTGTCTTAATCTCTTGGGATGATTTGACTGGTGCATCTGCGTAACACTCTAAGAATGGAAGTAAGAGACCTAAGTAACCCTTGATGATCATGGATCAGGAATAAAATATGCTTATGATGACTTTTCTAATGGTAATAAGATTTTAAAAAAAAACTACACAGGAGGCATCAGACCCGTCTCAGAATTAGAGGTGGCTGGGCAAATGTTTTTGTCCCTCTCTCTCAGAAAAAAAAAGTCTGATGTAACATAAGTGGTAAATTTAATCTCAGGCTGATGTCAGAGTTGCAAGATGTTCTTATTGTCAGAGGGATATTAAGTTATGTTCAAATGCAAACCCACAGTATTTCAAAATTGTCATCTCATTGCAAAGCTGGAGTAACTTTCTTGCTAAAAATAATTACTGCGAAGATACAGGTGACTTCCTACAATGCCTGCTGATTCAGATGTAAAACCCTCTAGGGTAGCAGTCACCAACTGGTTAATCGTGATTGACTGGTCTCCCAGTTGACCACAATTGGCATTTGGGAGGCTCCTGGCCTGCTCTGGCCTCATGCCGCTGGCCCATGCCCAGGAGCAACCAGCACACTCTCGTGTGTGTGGAGAGGAAGGCAGGGAGGCAGCAGTCTCTTCAAGCACTGGCCCCCTCCCCAGAGTTCCCATTGGCTGGGGATGGAAAACCGTGGTCAGTGGGAGCTGATGGGGTGGTGCCAGCCCTGAGACCACAGAGTTTGAGCCACAGTCTTCTGGGAGCAGCATGTAGAGCCCTACACAGATACAAATATCCACTTATAGACATTGGTACTCGCTGGTCCCCAGGGCTCTGCTCCCAGGAGACACTGCAGCCAAAGAAGAAGAGCACAGTGCCCCTGCTCCCAGGAGTCAGCACCCCATGCCAGCAGCTCCTCCTGACAGTGCATCTGCACTACTCCCAGCCCCACCGCCAGTGGGACTGTCCAGTTCCGGACAGGAGAAGCGATTACTGACAAGGCTCAGTGCAGTGCAGCTGCACAGCTGGGAGGACCTGCCAGCATAAGGCACTGGCTCCTCTTTTCTGGCCACAGAGTCTCCTGGGAACAGAGCCCTGTGGAGCAGCAGATACCAATGTCTATCCACAGATAGATATTTGTATCTGCACAGGGCTCTCGTGTGGGGCTGAGGCTGGGAGGAAGCCTGCTTTGGCCTTGCTGCACTGCTAACCTGGAGCTGCTGGAAGTAAGTGCCACCCTGCGAGAACCTGCACTCTCTCTGAGTGAGAGAATCCTCTCTGAGGCTATGTCTAGGTTACACCTCTTTGTCGTCAGAGAGATATAGCTAGATTAGGCACATCGAAATTGCTAATGAAGCAGGGATTTAAATATCCCACACTTCATTAGCATAAACATGGCCACTTTTTTTCAAAAAACAAACAAAAAAACCCAGCAGTCTAGACGCAGATCTGTCAAAAATAAACCCTTTTTTGACAGATCCTGTAAACCTGAGGAATACAGGATCTGTCGAAAAAGAGTGTATTTTCGACAGATCCCCGTCTAAACTACCGTTTTTTTCCGAAGAAGCTCCGTTTCGAAAAAAAAAGCAGCGGCCATGTTTATTTAAATCCCCCGCGGCATTTGCAATTCCGAAGTGTCTCATTAGCATCCCTTTTCCGGAAAGGGGTGTCAATGTAGACACAGCCGTACTGTTCAGTCATGATAGGTCTGAAAGCTTCGGCTGCATACAGTGGATTTCCAATGGGATTTCAGTCTGACAAAAGCACATTCAGCAGCCATTCTGGACCTGCTGACAGCATAATAAAACCATCTTTTGCCAAGTCCCCTTAAATCATGGCACAGTTTCATAAGCCAGGGCAAAAGGAGTCCCCTCAAGAAAAAGGGACAGCAACTCCATTTTATGACATCATTTGGTGGGAATAGTATCCCAGCCTGTCCATGAATATCGACTCTCAATTGTCAAAAAACACTGGCATCAGGAACCTATCTACTGCAATCCACATTGACCTTCTCTGTTGTCCATGAAGGTCTGCATAACAAAGGAGGGGCATCCCTTGTGGTTTATGTGTTTGTGCTCCTTGAGGAACACGTGTCCTATCACTGGCCCCAGTTAGGAAACCCCATTCTCTCTAAGCCAGTAGTTACGTCAGGAATAACTTTTATGCCTGTCACTTCGGTGCCTGACTACCTCAGAAACCAACACCAAAATGGCTGGCACCTGACCTGTAGCAGTCTGGGGCAGCTAGTTTACAGATGGTTATAGAAAACAGCTTCCAGACAGGCTGACCTTATGTATGTGTCTTTAAACTGGCGGTTGGGGCAAGTTATCCACAAAGTCGTCTTCCTCCTGCTGCTCTGTCAGGTGCCTTTGGTGGGTCAGAAAATGCTATCAAAATGACCCCTAACATCTCACGGGAGCTCTGCCCATTTCCTGACACGGGAAGGAAAATGCATGCAAGAGAAGTGCTTGAAAAGGTGCCTTCTCCATGCTGCTGGCTCCATAGCTGGGTGCGCACAGACAAAAAGACTGCTAGGAAGGCTGTGTTGGCCAGCTGTTCAAACTTGCTGTAATGTGCAAGGTGAACAGAGCACCACGGTCAAAATGGTAGAGGGTCCACCTTATGGGAGGGCACTAGGGAGTCTGGGATACAGACCCTAGTTTTCCTTGGGTCTGTGCACTGAAGTGTGGATGCCAGACAGGGTTAACAGGCAGTGAGTTTAGATGTTCAAATTCTGGGTTCTCTAACCCAGGATCAGTTGACTTGAGTCCCACTAATCTGGGCTGACACTGCAGGGTAGACATTCCCTATAGCACCGAAATTCATACGAGGGAAGTCTGCAGCTATTTTCCATTGAACTGAGCCTTGAGTAATCACTTAAAGATTTGGGGATTTTGCCTGGTTAGTAGACCTTAGCTGTTGATAAAATCAGAGCTGAAATACAGAAGAGATCCTCAGTTGAGATAATTTGGCACAGCTCCACTGATTAGGATGGCAGTAGACCCAGTTACACACAGTAAGGGTCCTGTATAGTTAAAAGCAGAATGCTCCCTCTGTACTAATATATGAATACGCACCTTCAAAGGCTTATTAAAACCGGGTTTGCAGAACTGCCTGTAGTACTCCCAGTAACTTTTGTTATATCTGTAGGAAGCTTGCATGTCTATGTATGTTGCAAACCTGTCTGGGCACTTCGAGACACAAAGCTGTAAGAAAAGAAACTGCATAATGATATATTGGAAAAAACAAAACAAAAAACAACATCCTCCCGCCCCCCTGAAACAATTTACTCATACCATCAAAACAGCAAGATAAAAAGTGGCCATCTATAAAAGTGCCAGTTTTATCAAATTGCCTGGAGCAATGCTTACTGAAGCTTTTAGAAAGGGACACTGTCGTTTGTCTCTTGTTAGATTCTCTAGATAAACACTTTTTAAAGCTTTTGAGAAGAGACCATTTCAAATCTCTCCCCACGTTCTCTCTCCTGACCACTCCACCTCCATGTATCTTGGTAAACTCCATACATTCTGATACACATGGACAGTTTAATTTCACTTACTAAAACTTTGTATTGAACACACACATGAAAAAATTCTCTGAATGGCCTTGATCTAACTCCCTAAGCACAGGCAGCCCTAGATATGAATATGGTGGTGCAGCAGCACAAGACATGTGGCATGGCACAAGACATTTTTTCAGTGCACTTATAAAGACAACTTTGATCAATAAAATCTCATGAAGCTAAAATTGCTTCACTCTCTTCTACAGGAGCGTCAGTCAAATCCACTTTCAATGATGCTGGTCAAGTGAAGCAATCTTTACGGGATTGTTCCAAATGAAAGGCAGTCGACTGCCCTTGCAGAGTTCCCACCCATGTCAAAGCGACACATACCAAGGATGAAAGTCACATCTCTGCCAACGAAAGCCAAAATAAGCAAGATGTGTGTGAGAAAGTAAGAACCAGGAATAAGTAAAGCACTCACTATGCAGGCCTTGTGGATCAATGGGCCGCTGGTCTGTTCTGCCTGAGCACACACAAAGCCCGCCTCTCTAGAAAGCAGTGGCTTCAGAAAAACTGCACTCATTACAAAGCTACTCTGTCTGGACCCACTCCACTTCAGCGGTTTACAGGAGGAAGAATTGAATTTACCCTTAAGGACATAGCGTGCAAGAGCCTTAAGCAATTTTTTTTAACATAATGAACATTTGAGGAAATGTCCATACCAGAAAGAGAATTTTAAGCCACAGGCCAGGACTTGGTGGATACAAAAGTCTAGAGGATTAGCCTTGGGCCAGGGAATGAGGAAACCTGAACTCTATCCTTGTTCAGACAATGAATCACCATCTGTAAAACTGGCACTGATATTTGCCACACAGGGGGTTTGCAAGGCAACATTTAAACATTTGTCTGTAAAACATTGTCTATAACCCAGAGTATTAACAAGGCCTGGCAGCATTAGCACAAGTATGAACAAAACTCAGGCCCTCTCTGATTCTCATGCCTGGGCTCACTCAGGTAAATGATCTAGTTTGGGGGACCACCACAACCTCCTCTAAAAGTCACCATGTGAAGTGTCTAGTCAAAGTGGGTCTTCAGCATTTTCACAACAGCTGGAGATTAAAACCTTTCATCTGAATTATCATCCAAAGATTAGAAAAGGTCAAAAACCCCTCTCCAGGTTCACAGATCTGTTGTGAACCTGAAAATAGATACATTAAGATACAACCTGGTTATGACAAACATTCCACCTGGCTTGCTTCACAGCAGTGACTACTTAATTACAGCACAAGACACTATCCAAGAGGGCATTGCACAACAGCAGTAGCACTAACTTCTGTATTTCTTAATATTATGCAGTTTTCCCTGTAACCTAAGAGACTGCCCCAGCATGCTAGGTAGTAAAATCAAGGCCACAGCACCACAAATCAACACACAGCCTGGTTGGAGCAGCCCCTGCCAGCAGCAGGCCTGGGTATGCTGCAAGCCAGGGCTCTACTGGACATTTGGAGCAGCCCCTGTCCACAGTGTGCATGTGTGTGCGCGCTCCAACTGGGATGAAGACCCCCCTCCGCCCATTGCCCCTTTAATCAGTAAACCATTCAACATTACGATTAACCAGTTAACCAATTAAATGGGATTTTATATCCCTGCCCTACACCCCACCCCATTCATTCTCCACCCACTGGACTGGGTGTGGGAGTAAGAGCTTCTGCTCAACAGGACTAGAGAGGTTTCAGTATTTCAGCCCTGTGGAGCACACCTGAAGGGGAAAGAACATGCTCTTGGCAGCTCTTCCTCGGCCCCCAACCCTCAATCTTGCTTCCTCCCTGCTCCCACTGCCGGTCTCCTACACATACCACCCCCCCCCCACACATACACACACATCCCCAAGGCCCTGCCCTGAAGGACCCGACAATGCTGGGTAAGTCTGCTAGCATGGCTATAACAACAAGCACTAATTATATTGCTGTACAATCACTCATGTTATATCCATGAATGCCAGCTAGTCAAATTCACTCACACTCATCCTGGGAATTTTTTCCATTTTAAATCCAAAAACAAACACTACTATGCATTTCTATTTATTTTCTCCTGCTATTCATTAACAATATACACTGAATATGCTACGCAGTGTACTCTGGAACGTGTTTATACACACTGAACTCTACAATACAAACTATATTGTACAAAATGTAACTAGTTAATCAAATAACTTTTGTCAAGTTTTAAGCAAGAATAAGTGAGAAGGCAGTGAGAATGTTTTCTTCTTATTTTTCACCTACCTGTGTTGTAGGGCACTGTAGGTTTATTAGCACTATTGGGCTGGCACATTTCAGAATGTTAAAGTAAAACAAAATGGTCTTGTTCCTAAAGAGAAATAGGGATAAAAATAACTATTTGAATATGTATTGGTTAATATCCATAGTACTCACATACCACAGACAGATTTACAATGGACACGATCAATTTTAAATATTCTTATCCTAAAAGGATACTGCAAATTCCAGGTGAGAAATGAAAATCAAGCAAAAACAAAAGTGCCCAAACTTATATGTATGTTTAGTCAAATTCCTTTGTTTCATTGTGAGAAGTGGTTTCCTCCACAGGAGCCTTAGCTGACATCCACTTGTTCTTAGAGGATGGCCCAGAACTGGTAGGCTAGCTACATGGCAAACCAGACCACCTTTTCATGTTCTGTTGTACACCTGCATATGCTGGTACATACAGCACACAGAAGGTGGCACCAAAAATCAATCAAGAGTGTTTTGTTACTCAAAACCTGAAGCAGCTGCCTAGGAAAGCAGGAACACCTAGGCAACTTACAAACCCAAGTACTGGCCAGAAGCAAGGGTGAGACTGTGGCTGGCAGTGTATAAGGAGAAAAGGAAGAAGCAGCAGCCTTCTGACCCTTCACTTTTATGCCAGGACCAGGACAATGTGGTCTGGGCATGCAGCTACTGCAGTAGACTTGTATCAGTAGCAGTGGAGACAAGAGCTGGCCAGAACATTTTTATTGCCATGTAAAATGAAAACAAATTTTGAAATCTCAAAAGTTGCTGTGCAACAGAATTGTACTGCAGGCAGCTCTATGGGAAACCTCTGCAAAAGGAGCCGGTTTAGACAAGGCCATGGTCCTCCCCCTCCATAGTAGGCAGCAAAGTTAGTTGTGTGTGAAGGGACTGCATGCTAACGGAAAAACTAAAAAAAAAAAAAGTTTTGCAGCACCTTAGAGACGAACAAAAAATGTAAATGGTATCATGAGCTTTTGTGAGCACAGCCCACAAAACTCCATTCATCTGAAGAAGTGAGTTTTAACCATGAACGCTCATGATACCATCTACATTTTTTTAGTCTCTAAGGTACTGCAAGACTATTTGTTGTTTAAGTTTTTCCAGTTATAGACTAACACATGGCTACTCCTCTGAAACTTTTGAAAAAGTAATGGAGAACCCACTGATGCGTGAGATTCCTCCAGAACCCTCTGACAACACAGCTGCCTCTCCCCCACTACATGGCTGTACCTTCAAGACCCACTCTGACCCCTAATACATAAGCGTAGCAAACTGCAACTCTCTGTGCAACTGGGAATAGTTCATCTGGTCTGACATTTTAGAGGTCAGGAGGCTTTCACTCACACATGCTCAGTCACATACTAGTTAAGAAAGCAGTCATACACTCTTGACAAATATAACCCAACCCTTAGCTGTTGTGTCTTCAAATAAACAAAGTAAATTTTGGGCTGAAATATCATATGTCTGTATAATTTCTCTTGGAGTGTGTACCATTTGTGAGCTGCTCATGCTATTAACACATTGTTTTACTCTCATTTTGATGTGTTTGACTGACCGCTGATATTAGTGGAGACAACGAAGATTAAACGTGTACGGCAGAGTCCTTTAAAGCATATTATATTCTGTGCTAGCATTATTTTCTATATGAAGCACAACAAATTGAGAGATTATATGGAGATGAATGGGTGGAGTACAGTGAAATGAAAAGGTGCAGAATTCCCCTAGAGAGATACAGAAGGCAACACAAGGTGGAATTAATTTGACTGTGTGAAACTCATTGCAGCACAGTTGTTTTGTCAGATGATCTATGGATCCAGGCTTGGCTTTATGTGACATGATTTCTGAAATATGGACTTCAATGCAATATTTGTGCTGAATGTTTGAAGCTATTAATATAGGCACAAGACTCATAATAAAGAGACTGCCATCACTCTCCACGGGAAAGCAGCATGCAGATATCAAAGCCTGCTTGGGAGGCCCACTAACCTAGCTCAAACTTTTAGGTTCTACAAACCCCACCCCCCATGGGGGCTATGTTGTGGGCTACTCAGTGGGAAAAATGAAGGCACTGCAGGACCCCTGGGTTTGGCAGCTTGTCATTAGAGATGAAAGTTGATCAGGGGATTTTTTTAAAATAAATGTTGAGGAAGTCATGCCTGATACTACAGTTGTGCAGGACTGGTCCTTGGGGCCTGTGAAAAGCTGGTTTGTGATTGTTTAGAGGGGCTCCTTTGGCTGCCTCTGACACTAGTGCTGCCATAAGCTCTCTGGTGGCCACTGGCCAAATGATCCCGTGTCACTTCTGAATTACCAATTTATAGCAAGCTCCTCAACATGGAAACTGAGTGCCAGCTCCCAGCCCCAAGCCTCTTAGGAAGGGAAAAGAGAGAGAAAGAGATGACATACAGGTAAAGAGGAAGAGCCAAGTAACAGAGAAGGAAAATAAGTGAGCGAGCAAACAACAGATATAGAGAACACGTACAATGGACAACAGAAAATGGGGTGAATGCAAAAGAATCCTTCTGCTTCTCCCAAGGGGAAGAAAGCCCTCAGCCACCAATGTCACTACTTGTTTCTCCTTCTCCTAGTCCTGTGGTGGATTGTGCAGGTGTGAGAGGCAGAGTCCAGTTTCTGCATCCTTTCTGCTTTGCATAAGCCCATTGAAGGGTTGGCCTCTGTCCCAGTTACCTCTCCTGATCCCCTTATAACTCCGGCCTGGGGCAGTTTCTCCTGGCAGTTTCATTCCCTATGCAAGAGAAGGGAAATCCTTCTGGCCACCTTCCCTGCAGTTCTCCCCAGCTCCATACAGGATCCTGCAGGAGCAAGTGGCACAGACTGCCTCCAGACTTCTCCTCTGCTCTCTTCTCTGTTGGGAGGGAATCCTAACCCAGGTGGTCTTGCACATCCCTCCCTGTCTCCATGCATTGGGCCTGATGGAAGCCCCTCTGGCTGCAATTCTGGACACTTACTTCTTCTGTTCTACTCCTGTAAGCTGAATGGGAGGAGAAATAAGAGGCAGCAGAAAAGCTGTATCAGCTGTGGGCTTTTCCTTGCTGCCTACATTGAACTGGATTTAGCATCAGTGATAATGAAGTGAAGGGTGTTTAATGCAAACTTAAAAAACCCCTTCCCTTTAATGCGGTTTTGTGGATCCAACTTAGGTTTTCATAGAAATAATGTTTCAACATACTATATTTAGCTATTTTAATCTGCAAGTACTTCACAGATACTAACAGATTAACTAATCCGCACAGTCCCCCAGTTGTGCTAGAAATTGCCACCCAAATTTTAGAGCTTGGAAAATAAAGTTGGTTTAAGATGCTAGCCCAAGGCCACAAAGGGAGTCAGTGTCAGAGCTGTCTGTCTCCCAAACCTGAACTCAGCCCACATGTCCCTGTAGAAGAAAAAAGTCAGCAGGTAGCTAGCAACTGACAATGAGAGTTCTCTTCTTCTTACTTTCAGCAGCTGTTTGGTACTTAATACCTGCTGAGCAAGGAAATGCTAGTTTATACAAAGCGAGAAGCAGTCTGCCATAATTTGGGGTTATTCCTCCCCAGGGATGAACATAAAGATTTCTCAAAGGGCATATTAGTTAAATGTCCTAACCTGAGCAGTTGCAGCTAATCAGAGTCTTCATCTCTTATAAAGAGACTTTAAAATATGGCTCTTTTTGCCCCTAATGACACAAGATATACTTTATAATGATATTTTATTAATCACAGCCTCCATACTATGCAAACAGCTGCATTATGGTAATAAATCAGGTCTAAATCTCCACTGATCAACTGAGTTTTTTCAGAAACCTTAACTGGAATAAATGCAGAAAGGTGAGGGTGGAGACTGTTTCTTTTTCAGGCTCCCAATTTAATTACCAGGAGGCTGAGGGCTGATGCCTCATTTCTCATTCACACAGCATGGGAAAGAAAGCTAAATGAATGCTCTGAGTACTCACTCATTTACAGTGTCCTTCTGGCCACAGAACTGCCCATAGCTGTCAGTTGGATAGACCACCTTCCTGGGGTCACCATGCACCCAAGCTGCAAATATATAGAGAAATAGATCTTTTCACACCTTATTCCAAGTGTCCAGCAGCAGCCGCCTGATAGTTCAATTTCTTTAGCAATTAAAATGCACCGTCTGCCATGTACTATTTTAACCTCTCCCAACAGCTACTAAAAGAGAATTGATTTTCCTTAAACTGTAGATTTCATCATGAAAAAATAAAATAAAATATGGATCAATGAGTCACATAGTAAAACATTTTTCTTTTTGCTTCAGGGTGCACACGTCTGGGTTGTAGCCAGAATATGAGGTAATGCACTTAGAAATTAATGATTATTCAAAAGAGAAAGAGGAGGCATTGCAAAAGCTTTGTTGGCTTAAAGCCACACAGTGCTATGGAGCTAAGCCTCACAGGCCAAACTGAGCCTTTGCTCATACCCACAACCTCACTGAAATGAATGGGGTTACATGGATGTGTGAGAAGGCAGGATTCAGTGATGACAATCTAGCAGACACTGAGTCACATTAACAAGGGATGCAACCCCCAATTTCAAGGATATAAAAGCAGTAGGCTCAGCTCTCAGTGCTGTGGCTGGCCATGCCAATTTGTTCTTTACACAACAGTAGAGACTCAACTGTGTGAATACAGATCCTCAGCCTGAACTGGAGGATACTACTTCTATTCCTCCTCAACTTCAGGCAAGGAGTTCTCATTCTTGAAAGTCTTTTTCCTCAAACTAATTATTTCCATTAGTACAGTCCTTTCCTGTTCTGGATCTAGTACACCACTAGGAAAAATCACCATTATTATATATTTTTTTCTTAGCTACCGAGGTCAGACCTAATTTTCACAACTCCCCAGTAAGCTCTGAATAATTTTGATTGCCCTTGGCAATCATAATTTCTATCAAGTCTCAGGGTGTGTCTAGACTACAGGGTTTTGTCGACAAAAGTGGACTTTGGTCGACAAAACTATACCTGCGTCCACACTACCACTGAGTTCTGTCGACATAACGTCGACAGAACTCAGCAGTTTTGTCGATGCTGGTAAACCTCATTTTACGAGGCAAAACGCCTTCTGTCGACAGAGTTTCTGTCGACAGAAGGTGTTATTGCATGTAAACTGTCCTTTGCGTCTACACTACCATGTCGACAAAGCAGCTTGCTTTGTCAACAGAACTCAATGTAGTCTAGACGCTCTTTGTCGACAGAAGTTTTGTCGACAGTATCTGTCGCCAAAACTTCTGTCGACAGAAGCCTGTAGTCTAGACGTACCCTCAGAGGGGAAGCCGTGTCAGTCTGTATCTGCAAAAACAACAAGGAGTCCCATGGTACCTTAAAGACTAACAGATTTATTTGGGTGGGTAAAAACCACTGTCACAAAAGCTTATAACCAGATAAATCTCCTAATCTTTGAAGTGCCACAGGACTCTTCATTATCATGTCTATCTCTATCCTCCACAAAACAAAACAATCAGAACTTCACCTCACAAGTAAAGGATAGTGCCAGCATATCAGTAGGCCATATGCCCCCCCCCCCCCCATCCCTAGATTTGGGCTGCTAATACAACTGCTGTAAAATGTGGCTGGCATTACTTTAATTCACTGTGATCATTCCTCAGTCTTTGTCCTGTAGTGTGTAAAAGAGACTATAGCCATTATGGTTCTTTTTAGTCCCTAGTTTCCTCCTCTCAGACTGTACATGGAATGTCAGGAGCCACTTAGCATACACTTTAGGCTCTGATCTATACAAATTATTTTCAATTTGTTCCTCCATAATTGCCCCACTTTTCTCTTGATTTTGAGGTGCTAAAAATTTAGTCATATTTGGAATTAAATCTTCCTTAAGGTCATTGCAGTTGTAGGGGCACTTAGATACTACGGTGATAGCTAGAATGGAAGTCACAGAAAAACAGATGTAATACTTATCCTTTGCAAGTCACAGAAAAATAGATGTAATGCTTATCCTTACAGATTATGGGCTAGATCTGCAATATACTCTCTATTGACTTTAACATAGCTGCACCACTATATACCTACTCAGAATGTGCTGTGTTATCTTTCATCCTAAATGGTTTTATTTTACTGGCACTCTTCATTTCTGGACCTTTACCTAGTTTTTAATATGTCTCAATTGCACCATGCTTTTTGGTTTGTAAAACCGATCTGCTAGCTGAACTCAGATACTTTCTAGACATTCAAATAAATGCTGGCTATCTATTTTTTCCTTATCTATTAATGCCCTGGATCAGCAAAGTACAAAAATTCTGCACCTATGAGATGTCACTCAGTAATGTAACCTAATGTATTAGATGTGAACTTCCTTAGATGAATCCATAAAGTCTTTTCATAAGCCAAATGTATACACATCTAATGTAGTAAACATATACATTTTGAATGAGTGGCTTGTTTCTGTGTGGTACTGTATGCTTTCCTTCTTCGTGACTATATAGTAACAGGGAGCATTCTTTAGTCTTTAATATTTCCCAACCATCTCATGAAGTTAAAAGAGAAAACCAAATGGATCAGTTTTCTCAGTGGAAACCAAATGTGTTTAACCCCTTATTTATATGTTCTTAGATGGGTTTTCTTTATCAGCTTTTCTGCCACCAAAAATAGTTTTTAAAAGTATCTGAAGATTACTAAAAGAAACCATTTGTTCCCTTCTTGACTATATTTTCCCTTACACTAGCACAGCATGGATAAAACAAATCAGATTCAATGTAATGCTGAGATTTCAGTAGCAAAACGTCTTCTGCATTGTAAAGATAATTTGGAATTATCTGCTACTACAAACTATATCCCATTTATACGTAGGATATTTTATCTTCAATTACTTCCCCCCTATATCAAAACACAATTCGGAAAAAAAAGAAGACTGTGGTGTAACTGTGCCAACCATCTCAGAACATGATTTACATGGAGATGACAAAAATTGGATACTATAAAATTATATCCAGATAAAGTACATTTTGTTATGTATTATTCTTGCTGTTTTATCATTTCTCATTATTCATCATCCAGTGCCCACTGAAGTCATTCCAATGACTCTCACTGGTTTCATTAGCTTAGGACTAGGGCCTAAAACACTAATATGATCCTTCGCAATGGCTTTGTGGGCATTAGTGAAATTCAAGTGTTGGAACATTTTGCTCACATTTTTTTTTTTTTGCAAAGTAATCTGAAAAGTATTTCCAGTCTTTAGGGATTCCCGTCCAGTTTCCTTCATCCAATTGTGCAGACCTATTCAAACTTGGTTGCAGCTTTCCTCAGTCATATTGGGGCACTAAACCAATTTTAGAGAAACCCGGTTTAAAAAATATAGTAAACAAGCTTTTCTCTGTCAGCACTTGCTCTCACCAACTTTACTTGACTCAAAGCTTATCTAGAAAACAGATTTATCTGGATTTTTTGTAAAATTGGTTTCCTTTAGTTTGAAATCACATCTGTGGAAGGGGGCAAGGGGAAAGTACATCACAACTAATTTGCAGAGAGAAACTGAGAAGAATTGGTCCATTATAAATGATGAATATTTACAATTTGATTAATATTGCTGCACAAAAGAGAAAAAAACAGTTATTTCTTTCTTTGTGAGTTAGAACAAAGTTGGGGAAGAATCCCATCTCCTATTCTGTTCAATGTAGAATTGTACCAGCAGTCTCCATTGACATGGATGGTTATTGTAATGATTAGCCTTACACAGTACTATTTGTATCTTATTTGTTGCAGAGCCCTACTGGTGACCTAATATCAAGTACTACATTAAATGGAATTTAGGTATATATAATTTTAATGCCAGCAAAAAGTTCTGTGTGGTCTGATGTTTATAAAATCATATTTTGAATGCTAGCATACACAGCTAGGATGAAACAAATACAATCAACCAACTATCAGTGCAGGAGTGAGGCAGCATATACCTAAGAGCTGGAAGGGACCTTGAGAAGTCATCCAATTCAGTCCCCTACCCCCAAGGCAGGACCAAATACCATCTCCAACAGATTTGCCCCAGATCCCTAAATGTCCCCCTCAAAGACTGAACACTCAACCTTGATTTTAGGAGACTAATACTCAAGCCACTAAGCTATCCCTCCCCAGACATAGTAGTTGATAGACAGGGATCCACATTTAGGACAGCTACAGTTCTGTTACTGAAGTGGATCAAGTAAACTAGAATGATATCAGAAATGGCTGATATCTGTCATTTTAAATGTTTATCAAATACAGGTTGAACCTCTCTACACCAGCACACGCTGGTCCAGCAACATCCACGATCCAGCATGATTTTAGTTAGCTGTATGGCCACTTATCATGGGAGTAGCCAAGTTTTCCATGTCCCATAACGTTTGTTTACAGCCCACATCTAGATCTCAGTGTTCTGTGCTGTTATTTAGCTCTAATTTGCCCCTAAATGTCTTCTAAGAGCCCAGTAAGCAGGGAAGTGTTGTTAATACTGCTAGACAATATTGTCCTCCTGTGGTTCAGCACATTCTCTGGTTTAGCATAAGGATGTAAATTCCCATTTAATTGGTTAACCGGTTAAATATCTTATATATTTTCCTTTGGGATGACAGAGTGACATCATCACTCTGGGCTCAAGGCCCCTCCATCCTCAGCTGCCAGCCTCCTTCCTCCACAAT